GGACAACCCCTTGGTCCTGCACTTCCAAGCTTGTTGCAAATGGTACATGAGGATTAGCGCTGTCTACAGAGTGGGAGGCCAGGCCCAACAGGGGTGAAGGGGCAGCATTTTCAAAACATGGGTGCCTGACATCTGGCCCCAGCTCTATATTTGGGCACCTGGCCTGACATGCAGAGAGGCAGGGCACCTGCAGCGAGTCTGCACAAAGGAGAGGGAGTGGAGGGATGTGGCAGCTAAGGGAGAAAAGCAGCAGTGCTGCTCTGTTCCGCTTGCCCTGCCACTAGTGGTGAATGTGGAGGGTGGGGACACCAGACTGCTGCTGCCAGCGCCAGCCTCGCTATTCGCCCAGGCTGCCTCGGTTGGGGGGAGAGGGAGCAAGGACAGGGAGAGGGCAAATCTGTGGCGAGGAAAGTGCGGCATAAGGGCAGAGACGGCAGAGCAGGCATGCAGAGAGGTGGGGCCTGGTCAGATGGGGGTTGTCTTGGCTCTTCCCAACCAACACCAATCCCCAGTGGCCTTCCAGGGTCTGCCTGACAAGTAGCGTCTGGCATGTTCCGATGGCTGGCCCCAAAAGTGCTGCTGCTGCCCCATTTTAGCACGGCAAGTGTGAATGAGAAATTTTTCAAATCCCCATTCAGCTCACTGGAAGGCAAATCAGTTCAAGCCGCTGTCACATTTGGTTTTAAACAGGCCCACTAATCCCTTCATTTCCAGGAAGGGTTTACAAGTGCTGACATCCAAATACCTTGGCGGTTTGTTTCACAAGGTCCTTTAGGCCGTATGCGAAAGCACGGAAAAATCCCCTGACGGGTATTTGTCTGACTTGCTCTTAAAAACCATCAGGGACAAGGATTCCACTGAATACGGAAGTAACCTGTTCCCGTGTTTATCCTGACGGTTAGAAAACGTTTCCTCGTATCTTCACTTCATTGTCTCCAGCTCTAGACTAAGGCGATTACTTCTTGTTCTACCTTCTGAGAAGGGGAACAGCTGACACCTGATTTAGGTATAGATGCAGGTACCTAATTTTATGCATCTACATTTGAAACTGTCCTCAGTAGCATCCTTTGTATTGCAACATTTCCCATAAGACTCCAGGCAACGTGAAAGCCAGCTGAAAGCATAAGTCTGGGTGTTCCAGGGAGGGGCATGCATTTGCATCAAGTACGACACGGTCAGTGAACGGGCATGACAGCTGCACTCTGGAGCATCAATTCAGAATGACAATGGTGGGTGCTCACCTTGCCTCTCTGGGTTGCGCATCTGGGATGGCGTGTCATGGATCTTCAGAGTCCATTCCCCTTCTGCTGTCTCCCCCCAGCAGTGCACGGTCATGAATTCCCAGTTTTTAAATCCTTCATTAGAGAGATCGAACACTCTGCATTTGGAAAGTAATGGCAGGGCGTTACTCCAGACAGTTAAACAGGGAGCACGGCAAGGTGCCCAGAGACATGCATCCTATGGATAGGCCTCCACTGCACTGCCATGCAAACTACGAGGGAGCAAACTGCAGAGTGCACTTGTAATGTCAGCGGGCGGACTCGAACCTGGGACCTCTAGAGTAGGGCTACTCAACATACGGCCCGTGGTGCAGTTTGGGTTTATGCAGGGCTCAACACACGGACTATGGGGGGGATCCTTTGAACATGGCCTCCATTGGGAATACGCTCCAGAGCAGCGAGTCAATATAATGGTCTTCTGTTGAAATGTGTTTTAGTGGTTAAATTCCTGGACTGTCATCGCTCATTAAAAGTGCTGTCATGTGGGTAGAAATCGAGTAAATTTGCATTTTATTAATAGCAGCAGAACTGGCTTAAATGGGGCCTGCATGTTGTGTAGTCTTGCCTTAATCTTTGTATTCACGCCCATCAGTGTGAAAGAAACTATTTGAGTATATTTGCGTCTATATTTTCATGTAAATGCAACCAGACTCAAGTTGCAGCCCTCGGCATGTGCTGAGAGTATCATGTGGTCCCCCAGGGCTTCCAAAGTTGAGTAGCCCTGCTCTAGAGCTTAGTGCAGGAACTAAAAGCCAGCTGGCCTAGTACCTAAGGCGGTAGAACAGACTCATTCTCTCTGCAATGGTCTCGGTGCCACTAGATGGGACAGTGAACCACACTCAGAAGGCACATGGGTTACATATTTTTCCTTGCTGAGGAAGTGTGTCCCGAACTTCAGAGACACCCCACTTGAAATCCTCGATGAGCTCCCCACTCCTTGTAAAGTAGACAAGCGGAATCAAACTTGGGACCTCTGGAGCTTAGTGCATGAGGTGCCACTATAGCTTGAGCTAAAAGCCAGCTGGCTCCCAGCTAAGGCAGTTGAGCAGACTCATTCTTTTCTCTCTGATTGGTCTCTGCCACAAGACGGGACAGTGCCCCCCACCCTGCAGTTGTGGGGGCTACACCCTGACAGCGCTGTGCAGTGCGGATGCAAACCAAATGCTGCCTGGCTGGCCGTAACGTGGTGCGGGTTGAACGAGGTACCGTTAACGTGTTACAGAAGCCTCCACACAGGGCAGGCAGAGTGCAAGTTTGGTGCATTTTGCAGTTCACACCTCTGAAGTCCACACTGTGGCTCAGGCCAGGTCTACACTAGACACTAGACCTGGAAGGTCGGGATGAGGTACGCAACTCCAGCTGTCTAACAAAATGTACCTTGCTCGCTGCACAAGTGTGGCTTCCATGTACTTATGTAGGAGACTGCGCCACGGCGTGGACATACAATAAATCCCCAGTAACTATCGTATTCTGCTGATTAATCCAGGCTGGGAAGTGGCGAGGCACTGCCGATTCTGTGCAGACACCTCGTCCAATTAAAGTCACTGCACATCCCAGTGACAAATCCTCCAGTAACATATCGCAACTATCAGTAAACCACAGGGAAGAGGAGCTAAGGAACACTACAGTCGGTTAGGAAAGCAGCTTTTCTGATGGAGGAGTCAGTAGCCATGTGGCTGTCTGGGACTCTTCGAACGTCTACAAATACTCCGACATGGTTCTCAAAACCATGAGGCTCATCCACATTCGCAACAGGAAGAGCAGAGTTTGGAAAGCCAAAACTGTTAGTCACTTTAGGAATAGAACTAACACCAATTTCTGCACTGCACCTTCGTCCCCCCCTGGGAGATTCCTGGCACGGCCACTCGCTTGTACATTAAAGTTCTGGGAAGAGGAATCACAGCTATGGGGTTTAGCTTGGGTTGGTTCCCTCTCTAGTATGAATTAAAGAGGTTCATACTAGAGCCACTACATTACTTTCGGCAAATAGTAAGTTTGCCAAAAAACAACAACTCTTTTTTCAGTTTTGTGAATTTGGGTCAAATTTGTAAAATGTTTTTTTGGGGGTGTGCAAGGGGGAATGCTGAAACATTAAACAGAATCAGAGAAATGTCAGGTTGGAAGGGACCTCAAAGAAGTCCTCAAGTCCATCCCTGTGCACGGAGACAGGACCCAGTAAAGTTAGACCATCCCTATCCTTAAAAACCTCTGAAGATTAGGATTCCACAAACTCCTTTGGAAGCCTATTGCAACGCTTAACTATCCTAATACCCCCAACTGTAGATAAATCCATTATTTCTTGTCCTGCCTTCAGCAGCCATAAACATCAATTGATCGCCAAACCTTTTAGAACAGTGTGTGAAGAGTCCCTCCCCACACACACTTCCCTTGTCTTTTTTTCTCAAAACTAAACATGTCGGCTGCATATAGACTGGCATGATTTTCTGCAAATGATTTTAACGGAAAAACTTTTCCGTTAAAAGCATTTGCGGAAAAGAGCGTCTAGATTGGCACGGATGCTTTTGCGCAAAAGTGCTTTTTGCGGAAAAGTGTCCGTGCCAATCGAGATGTGGTTTTGCGCAAGAAAGCCCAAATCGCCATTTTCGCCATCGGGGCTTTTTTGCGCAAAACAGTTTTTACCTGTCTACACTGGCTCAGGGCTTATCCCCAAGCGGGAGCATCATAGTATTTAGGCAAGAACACTGACAATCTTACATGAGATCGCCAGTGTTCTTGCGCAAATTCAAGCGTCCAGTGTAGACAGCTGGCAAGTTTTTCCGCAAAAGTGACTGCTTTTGCGGAAAAACTTGCCAGTCTAGACGCAGCTGTCCTGTTTTTCTTAACCTTCCCTTCGGGTCAGGTTTTCTAAACCATTTATACTTTCTGTTGCCCTCCTCTGGACTCAGTCCAGTTTGTTCACATCTTTCCTAAACTGTGGCACCAGAATTGGGCACTGTGCTCCAGCTGAGGCCTCCTCAGTGCCCAAAGTGGACAGTTACTTACCAAAATCTGACAAACCCAGAATTGTAATAGCCCCTTTCATGACTGCAACATGTTTTTGGCTTCTGTACAATTTGTGGTCCATTATAACCCTCATGTTCTTTTCAGCAGTACTTAGGGTTGCTAGATGGTTGAACTAAAAGTACTGAATATCCCCCCCACCCAAAAAAAAAACCACTAGGGAAAAATTCTGTTGAGGAAAAAAAAGCGGGGTGGAGGGGGACCAAAGTTGTTGAGCAAAAAAGGGATTCCGAGACTCATTAAGCAAAAAAACAACAACAAAAAAACCAGCATTAAAACAGCATCGTCCCTCTCAGAGTGTAAGCAGAGTCAGAATAGAGATAGGAACAGGGGACTGGTTGAGCACTAAGACCCAGGGAAGGCATTGCTTCCCCTAGGTCTTTAGGCTTTTTGCCGGCGGCCATTTTGTGTTCTTGTTCAAGCCAGAACATAGCTTCCCTACAGAACCAGGTAAGCATGAGGTCCGGGGGCAGGGGGTGTCAGGGCCAGGGGAACATAGCTTCCCTACAGAACCAGGTAAGCATGAGGTCCGGGGGCAGGGGGTGTCGGGACCCGGGGGGAAGGGGAGGCCAGGAGCTGGCCAGGCGCTAGGGTTGCCAGGTGTCTGGTATTTTTGCCTCCTGGCCAGGAAAAAAATCAGAAAATACCGGACATTTTAGGTGTCCGGTATTTTCTGAATTTTTTTACTGGACAGGAGGCAAAAATACTGGACTGTCTGGCAGTACTACTACTACTACCCTAGCAGTACTACTGTGTAGCCTAGCAACAAGCAACCAAGGCTAGTGAGTGGGCCTCATGAGTGGCCCTCCTTCATCTCAAGGGGCCACAAGATCACTGCAACCAAGATGATCTCCCAGGATGGGGCAGTTTTGCCAACTGCGCTTGCATGCCTAGAATTTGAGGGCGGTGCTGACTGAACCGTGGCAGCGCTGTGATTGGATGCAGAGGCAGCGTGCAGCTCTCAGTCAATGTTGTGCGTAACCCACATGCCCCTCACTTCACCGGCCCTTGCTTTATGGGCGTGTCACTTTAGTAACACCGGTGGGTAAAAGCCTATGCAAATGGGAAACAGCAGAATTTGGCAACCCTGCGTGTGGGGCGACGGGCAACAAAATGCCTCACAGACCACACACAGAACCCCAGTAGGCAACCTGCGGCCCACAGGTCACTCACCCTTCTCCATTTCCTGAAAGAAAATGCTGAATGATACTGGACCCAGAATAAACCCCTGCGGGACCCCATGTGATATATCCGCCCGGTTTGACAGTGAACCATTGACAGCTGCTCCTTACCGACCCCCTTTCAAACAGCTATGTACCACCGGATAGTAATTTCATGTAGGCCACATTTGCCTGTTTGATGTATGAGGCTGACAAGTGGGTCTGTGCCAAAAGTCTTACTGAATTGAGTACATGACGACTAAACTCCAAATCCACAGTAACCCTGTCACAGAAGGAAATTAGGTTGATTTGGCATGATTTGTTTCCAACAAATCCATGTTGCTTATTACCTTATTATCCTCTGGGTGCTCACCAAATGATTGCATGATAATTAGTTCCAGTATCTTTCCAGATAATAAAGTTAGGCTGACAGGTCTATAATTCCCCAGCTCTTCTCTGCTCCCTGTTCTGAAGACAGGCACTATGTTCCATTCTGACATTTTCAAAATGAGCTGTTTCAGCACTTCGTTGCAAAGGGACATTTTGTTAAGCCTTCCACCAGATTCCCCTTGACATTTTTCAGGAGAGTGCAGTGCAGATGCACCATGTCCCAGCCACGCAAGTACATTTTGGGGGGGGGGGAGGAGGAGAGAGGAAAGAAAGAGGGAAAAGTCAGCCCCTCTCCCCCTTTTAAAATGACAGTTTACAACATCATGGTAGCCAGGCCTAGGCTAATGTGGAACTGCTCCTGTGGCTGTACTAGCATGGCTACTAGTCAAATCCCGATTGATCAGTTAACCAGTTAAACATTGGATCCCGGGTGGGGGACCATTTCAGCCTGGTTGGAGCAGCCTCCAACTCACAAAGCTCCAGTTTCCAGCTGCGTGCCGTGCTAGCGGCTGACTCCCGGCCTCTACCTCAGCCCTGTGGGGTTGGCTGCTGGCTCCCGGCTCCCCTTCCCAGCAGCCAGCTGGGCGGGGCAGGCCGTTGGCTGGCAGTCCTGCCTGAGGGTCCGGTGGGGCCGGAGCATCCCTCAGCCCGTGGTTCACACCCCTAATGGCTACATAGATCCAGGCATTCTAACCTTCTTGCCAAGAGCTGAGACTCCGTCCCCGAAGGGGAAGTTAAGTTAATCTGCAGGTCCCCGCGCCGAGGGTGCTCAATGCTAACTCGCACAACGACGTGCTCCAGGTGCACCACACGCTGGTCGTAGTGGTTGGCACAGGCATCGGTCACGATGGTTGTACTCACAGTCTGGCCAGCAGGGATGTCTCTAGAGAAGAAGGAAGGACAGTTGGCAATGGAAAGGACAACAACACGCTAACACTGGGGGCTGGGTTACACAAAGAAGAGGACAAAATGGATGGAATCTGCTGGCTGTCACTGATTTGGCCTTGCTGCCAAATGAGGCCACTGATGCTTCTTGAGTTCAGTTCTCCAAGAGGTAACCCCGTAGGCTGGGCTCTGGGGAGGTTTCTGGGCATGAAAGTAATTCACAGCCTCACAGCCATTGCTCCCGTGTCTGTGTTGGGGAAGTCTCCGAGGGTCACCTCCAGGAGCAAATAGCAGATGGATGGAACCACCAACTGCACCACCCAGCAGCGGAGAGGGACCCACAAAGAAATGGGCTCTGCAGTGCAAAAAGAGTTCACGGCTCCTACGGTAGCTCCCCAGATCCTGCCTCCCAGATAGCGGAAGTGAACACGTCACTCTGCAGCAGGGTCTCTGGCTGTCGCCGGACACCAAGGGAGCAGAATGTGACTCAGACACAAGTGCTGGGAGATTATGGAGCAATCTTTAAAGAGCTCTACCGAGTTCCCTCCTTGGATGGAACTTTTCTGGCAACGGGAGTGAAATCTAGAGCATGAGCTCTCTGCAGCTCTTGTCCATGTGTCCAGTGAAGGGAAAGCTCAACGCACGTGTTCCAAGGACACCTTTCCATTCTGAAGATTCCATAACGCAAGCCCTGGAGGCATGGGCTGCGGGAAAAGGTAGGGGTGGGGGAGGCAAACCCCAGCCCCGCCCACAGACCCACCCCCTTTCCCCAGCCACCACCCCCACAGGAGCCAAGTCCCCCTAAGGGGGGCAGTGTGTGGCTCCAGCCTCCCTGGCCCTGGAACACGGGGAGGGCGGGTGCCACGCACCCACAGCCTTCCAGACCCCGGAGCATGGGAAGGGTGGGTGGCACATGGTCCCAGTCTCCCCGGCCCTGGAGCATGGGGAGGGTGGACACACAGGGGCAACACTCCACCCCCAGTACGCCTACAGTAGGCATTCTGGGAGCAGCAGTGTGTGGCTCCAGCCTCCCTGGCCCTGGAACACGGGGAGGGCGGGTGCCACGCACCCACAGCCTTCCAGACCCCGGAGCATGGGAAGGGTGGGTGGCACATGGTCCCAGTCTCCCCGGCCCTGGAGCATGGGGAGGGTGGACACACAGGGGCAACACTCCACCCCCAGTACGCCTACAGTAGGCATTCTGGGAGCAGAGTCTGGGTGGGACTAGGCTGGCGATTTGGGAAGGCTGTGCCTTCTCCTCTCTATGATACCTCCAGGCCAGGGCGGTGGGTATGTATCGCACAAGAACAGCAATCCCACAACTGCTCTTAAAACACCTCGCCTCACTGGCTCCATGTTTGCCCACAGCAGTTGCTGGACCCCTTATGGAAGTCAATTTTTTTAGGGACCACATTCTTAATTCCACAAACCATCAACACCCAGCAAAGGATTAAGTCCCAGTGAACTTCTCAGCTGTGTTGTTAATGGGTAATTTATTAGACCAAGTATCCCCTTTGGGATACTGCCGGGAATATGCTTCAAACTTTCAGAAGGGTTACATAGCTTGCTTTTATTTTGGCTTAGTCATAAAGAATAACTGAAATCATTATAAAGGATGATGTAATTCCTTGGGAGGGTTTGTAAAGCTTTGAAAACATTATTTGCATGCACCAGGAATGGACTTCAAGATGCTCCTCTCCCTTTATTACTTGCTTCAAAAATTGTTGTTTTGGCTTGTTCCGTGGTACTTGTCAGCTAGTCCGTCTGGTCCAAAGTGACAGTAACACGGACATTGTGACATGTTAGAGCCATGGTTGTTATAGATTAGTTGCATTACTCTAGCGCCTAGCCATGAATCAGCACTATGTACAAACAGAACAAAAAGGCAGGCCCTATCCCAAAGAGCTTCCGGTTGAAGTTTAAGAGTTAAAACAAGGTTACACCAGGTCCTGGGTCTCTGGCTATTCAGAATACCCCAGCTTTTCTCCAGTCACTCCTTACATCAGCCATCACATCACAGCCCTCTGGGTGGCTTTGCATCCAGCTCGAAACGGAATGTGAGGGCAGACAGATGATACATGAAACACAGTGCTGTGTAGGCATCTGACACCTGTTAGTTCAAGTTCTACCACCCCCACATGAAACAGAACTTGCACAGCAGCATCCGGGGGGAAAGTTTTAGAGCGATGCCCGGCTCACAGCAGTTCCACATGACGTTGTACCTGATTAGCTGTAAACGGTTTCTGTGCAAATCGGAAAGAAAAACTTCTAGCCGGAGTCACTTCCAGTCACGTTCAGGGCTCAGAAAAAGTTTTCCTGGGTGAGTGATCAGAAACACTGGACGGCACCACCAGGCCTAAACATCTCCCTCCCTCCGGGCAGACTTCAAAAATTACTTAATGCAGCATGAAAACAGCCTGAAGATCTAGCAAGCCATGTCTTTTGGGGCCGTCTCCCACAAGAGGAAGGCTGTTTACACCTCAGGGACTGGGCTACAGAATCTGAATTAAGTTACACCTGACTTCAGGTAGCTAATATGTATGACACTCCCACCAGCTATTCAGGCCTGGTTCATCACCAGGCCACTGCAGTATTTATACCTGTGACACTTCCCTGAACTCACTGGAGTGGCACGCAGCAATGCAGCAGGGATCAGGGCCCAGACTCCACACTGTGTGTTGGAGCATTCTGATGGGCGAGGCAGGAAGAGACTGCGGAGGCAGCTCAGCAAGTTTCTGGCTTCCCCTACGTCCTGCGGGCTGGGGAGGCAGGT